TCTGGTCATTGTTGTGGTTCTTAGGCTTTACACATGGGTAAGACTATTGACTGCTTCTCTCCCTAGGAAGCTTGCAAAGCCCCTTCAGATGCTGTGAGAGCTGCTCTTCAGGGAGGAAGCATCAGGTCAGTCCCGGCTCAATTCCTCCACCTCCTATGTCTGGAGTATACATTGTCTTCAGCAATCAGGTCTTACCTTCAAGTTCCGGGAGGCAACCAGGGGTAATGACAATAGTCTATATTGTTTGGCAGTATGACCAACAACTTAAAGGGGTTAGTGCTAAGGTTTTCATTAGACAGTCTGAGGCTCTGAGAGAATGTTATCACACCAGGTGGTATAACTTCATTTAAACTGTGTGCATACACACACATTAATATTCTGGAACACTCCCTGAACATGTAGACACAGAGAGGTCCCTCCCTCTTACTTTTCCAAAGCATCATGCACTCCTTTTTGTATCATTTTGGATGCTTCACAATTTTGTTGCTTAAGGCCTTATACTGCCTTACACAGGTATAAGAGGTGAATTATTAGCTTAATTTTCTAAACAAAGCCTAATTCTGAACTTTCTACTTACTGGATTAGAAGCAAAACCAAAACCAGTCATGTTATGAGAAGCCTATTAGAATACAGAAAAATTCTGGAAGCTTCTGAGGTCCAATAATTGGGAGTAAGGGCCTCTGATGTCCAATTCATTGCGGTACTTATTGTCCAGTTTATGTGCTAGCCCAAGACCAAAGGCTCACGAGCGTCACTCCAAGCTTCCCCTCCCCTCAGGCAGTGTCGTGATACACAGGATTCTCTCTCAAGTAACACTCTATGGCCATCTTCCTCTGAAACTTCCCGACTTCCTAGTATTCTTCAAGTGCAGTTTGCTTCTAGGCTTCAAACATCAACCTCACTGCAAACATCTACAGAGTCTGGCGCTAGAGTAAAGTGCAGACTTATATGCCACATGTCCAAATCCTTTCACGTTACAAACCAACCAACGGTAGAGTATGAGATGGGTATGATCAAGACACTTTATCATGCATGACATTTTCAAATGAGTTATTTACACACACACACACACACACAACACACAAGTACGTAAGAAAAGATATTAAGGAAGACATCTTTATCACAACCCCTGGCTTCCAAACACACCTGCATGGGCAGCTGCACCCATACACATGCATACACTACAGATACACAAGCATAAATACCGTATGAATACATAAAACATGTCCTAACAGCCAGGTGTGGTGGTGTACTCCTTTAATCCCACCCAGCAGAGGCAGGCAGATCTATGTGAATTCAAAGCAAGCCTGGTTTATATAGCAAGCCAGGACAGCCAGGACTATGTAGAGAGACCCTGTCTCAAAAGTAAAAAAAAAAACGTCTAGATCTATTTACTAGGAAGCCACACTTAAACTTAGAATTCTTGGACTTCTCAGAGTCTTATGGTGGAACACAGTGGCCTGGTCCCCAACTCATGGCTTCATATGCATATTCCCTCTCCTTGAGAGGCAAAACAAGGCTCCAACCTGCAAAATCAAAAGGTGGCCAAGCTCAGCAGATAGCTCGTGTGTGTGTGTGTGTGTGTGTGTGTGTGTATGTGTGTGTGTGTGTGTGTGTGTACATATACATCTGTGCACCACATGTATGCCTGGGATCTAGTGCCTGCAGAAACCAGAAGACCTGAGTTAATTCTAAGACAATGCAGGTGCCCAGAATGAACCAAGCTCCTCTGGATGACAGCCAATGCTCTTAACCACTGAGATGCCTCTTCAATCCCAATGGATAGCTCTCTTCAGCCCTGCTTTGGGCTGGTGAGTTCATCAGGACACAGTGGATGGTGGTGCTGTTGGGCAAGACTTCCCTGGGTGTCAGGAGTACAAAATGTAGTCTAAAGAGAGCTCAGGTTCCAGGTGGACAAATTCCTCCAACCAACAGTGTCTCCACACTGTCATGTCACCAAAGGGCCTGAATACAGCCCTATAAGCATGGGGTCCAACGTGGGGACCTCCCTCCCTTGTCGTAGTCTGGAGGCAATCCAGGAAGTAACTCCTTGGTGCACAGAAGGCACCTACTGTGTACTTTTTCTACATATATTTTAAATCACCTAGAGTTAACTACCTTAAAATCCACTTAGCTGATAAAGCAAACCGTGCTTTTTCAAAACTCCACAAACACTACAAATGGGACGAGAGAGACAGTGGGTCAGCAGCTTAAAAGTGCTTCTGCTCTTCCAGAGGACCTAAGCTCAGCTCCCAACAGGCCGCTCAGTCACCTGTACTCCCCCCTCTTCCAGCCTTTGCAGGCAGCTACACACACGACACACTCACACACACATGACACTCACACACACATGACACTCACACACACACATGACACTCACACAGACACTCACATAGACACACACACGACACACTCACACACACATGACACACACACATGACACTCACACACACGACACACTCACACACATGACACGCACACACACATGATACTCACACAGACACATACTCAGACACACACATGACACGCGCACACACACATGACACTCACACAGACACACTCACAGTCACACACATGACACGCACATACTCACACAGACACACACTCACACAGACACACACGACACGACACACACACACATGACACACACAGGACACACTCACACAGACACACACACATGACACTCACACAGACACACACGACACACTCACACACACATGACACTCACACACACATGACACACTCACACACATGACACACACATGACACACTCACACAGACACACACATGACACTCACACAGACACACACTCACAGACACACACATGACACACACACAACACTCACACAGACACACACATGACACACACATAACACTCACACAGACACACACATGACACGCACACACACATGACACACTCACACACGACACACTCACACAGACACACACATGACACTCACACACACACATGACACTCACACAGACAGACACACACATGACACGCACACACATGACACACACACAACACACTCACACAGACACACACATGACACACACACACACGACACACTCACAGACACACACATGACATGCACACACAGACACACACATGACACACACACACATGACATACTCACAGACACATGACACACTCACACACATGACACACTCTGACACACTCGCACAGACACACGACACACACAGACACACACATACAGACACATGACACATTGACACACACTCACACAGACACACAAATGACACACTCACAGACACACATGACACACAGACACACATATACTCACACAGACACACATGACACACTCACACCGACACACACACACACGACACACTCACAGACACACATGACACACAGACACACATATACTCACACAGACACACATATGACACACTCACACCGACACAGACACACAAATGACACACTCACAGACACACATGACACACAGACACACACTCATACTCACAGATAAAAATAAAAATTTAAAACTACTAGCAAGTCATATTAAAAGAAAGTGCTGCATAAGGAAAAGTTTGAAATACATATTTTAAAACAAACTTTCCTCTTGTATTGCAGAACTTCTACTGTGACACTCCAGTCTGCATGTAAGTAGAAAATTTCCAACTCTAGATGGTATGTGTGCATACCTATATGTCCATTGGGCCTAGACTTCTGAGAATATTATCAATGAAATCAAACAAAATCACTGTTTTCCGTGAGAGAGTTCTGGAATAGAACAGAAAGTGCTTCTGATAAGTTTAAGTAGCAGAGAAATTTTTAAAAAAGGAGCAAAAGGAAGAATCTTCAAGGACCACTCTACAAGAAGAGATGGCACAGGAGCACACCTGAAGAACAGACAGACAGACAGACAGATGGCACAGGAGCACACCTGAGGGACAGACAGACAGACAGCACAAGAGCACACCTGAGGGACAGACAGACAGACGGCACAGGAGCACACCTGAGGGACAGACAGACAGACAGATGGCACAGGAGCACACCTGAGGGACAGACAGACAGACAGATGGCACAGGAGCACACCTGAGGGACAGACAGACAGACAGACAGCACAGGAGCACACCTGAGGGACAGACAGACAGACAGACAGCACAGGAGCACACCTGAGGGACAGACAGACAGACAGACGGCACAGGAGCACACCTGAGGGACAGACAGACAGACAGACAGACAGACAGACAGACAGACGGCACAGGAGCACACCTGAGGGACGGACGGACGGACAGACAGACGGCACAGGAGCACACCTGGCAGACAGACAGATAGACAGCATCCAGAGCAGTGAGCCCCTCCCTCCTCTACTGCTACTGAGATGACTGCTCCCCACCATCCCCACTTCCTTAAGGAAACAGGAAACGTAATGGGGATAAACAGAAGCTGCTGCAGAAGACTCTGAACCTAGCTCTGTCTCAGCGAAAGAGACAAGATGTGCACTAAAGTGTCTTAGAAAGAAATAAAATTTTAGCAGTGCTTTTCAGTAGATAATGGCATTATGGACAGTTTTTATTTACTTTGTGTACATGAAATATAATTTGAAAAATAAACATTTTAAAACTACTTTTTCTAAATCTAAAAGAAAGCTTTTCTAAAGAGAAAATTTGAGACTACATCCATATGAAAAATATGCAATCCTTCCTGACTTCATAAATTTGAATGGAAATTTGCTAATTATGTTTTAAATTTCATATTACTTGATGTTTCCTGATACCATAAACATTTTCTAGATCTTTCTTGACTTCTACATGAGCAACTAGGACAGTGAAGGAATTGCTGTTTCTGTAAGTTACTAGCAGTAGCGATGCCTCTACGCTCTGCCGTCTGTAATTAGAGTTGACACTGGGCAGCACTGCTGGCGGCATCTTCCAAAGGAGATCTCTATGGTGCTGCTTCAGATAAAATCATTTCACAGTTAAAGCTCACTTCTTAACAAAAAAATGGCTCTTTATTAAAATAGCAACATAAATACTAATAAACTTAGTTTTATTAAGGAAAGCAGAATTAACAGGGAAAAAACTCAGAACACTATTGTAAATTACACCAGTTAAAAATGAAATAGAGACAGTTACTATAACAGTAAGAAGCTATATAATAAAGCTGTGCCCAGAGGTAAGTTTATAGTCTTATGTCCTATTATTAAATAAGAAATTAAAAATCAGCTAAGTCATCAGTTACAAAGAAACATTCACAAAACAACTAAACTTTCTTATGAAAATAAGAAAGAAATTAGAGATAAATAATTATATTGATATAAACACAAAAACTAGAATTATAAAATATTTAAATGTTGGTTCCTTAAAAAGACTGGCAAGTCTAATAAAAGAAAAAATACAGGTGAAGACTAAAATGTTAGGAAATAAGAAAAACACTACAGCCACAGATACAGAGAAAAATACTTTTAATTATAAGATAAATATATGCAGAAATCTAACATATTTTTAATTCTATGAAAATGCATGATTTTCTTTTAAAAATATAATTTTAAAGTTGCTATTCAAGAAGTATGGCTGCCTGTATAGGACAAAACCATAGAAGTTTTCAAAAATTTTCAGAGAATTCTCTTTTATCTTATAAACAGTGCTATGAGGGGGTTCCTCCAAGACATCAAGGAATAGACAGCTCCTACACTACTACTAATTTATACCTAAAGCAGTCCAGAAATTCCCCTTCTGAAGCTAAGAAAGAAGACTATAAAAATATAAGATTGCAATCTAATCTTTTTCATGAATATAAATGTAATAACCCCAATTAGAATGTAGGGAGTTGAATTTAGCATTGTTATACTCCAAATGCGGGAAAGTTCACCGTGATTAAAGATTTTATCTTATGCAGAAATAGCTCAGCATCAAGAAATTCTTTAATAATGGTGTACTGTGGTAATAGGCCACAAAATAAAACCATACGATAACCTCTAGTTGCTGAGAATGTTTAATATAGTTCAACAAGAACGTCCAGAAAAAGTTTGGTATATTTGAACCAGAAGATCATTTCCTTTGGCTAAAGGCCTGCATTTTAGTCCAGTAGTTAACATTAAAATCTGGTAAAATACTGATGGCATTCCTTAAAAAGTCAGGATAAGAGCAAATCTATTACCATCACTTATTCGATGAGGTATAAGCATAGCAAAAGAAACACAAAATTGTCATTAATTATGCTTAAAATGATCAGCTATGTAGAAGAGAATCAGTACGGATTAGTGAGAGGTCTGAAAAGTTATCAAATACAAATCAATTGACCCTACAAGGAATAGCTTCCATAGAAGCTCTTAAAAATAGGGGGGAAATGATCACAGTCAAATAGCAACAAAATGTAAAACAGCTGAAATATAACAAATAAGTTTACAGCACATTAACAAAAGTGCTGAAAGACATATGAGATTCTTCAGCAACCTGCACACATGACAAGTTCCTCAACAGGAGACTTCAGAGTGTAAACTTTACAATCTTTCTCAAATAACCCACAATCTTAAAGCAATCCTAAACAAAATGACAGTAGACTTTCTTCTGGACTTTACCAAAATATGACTAAAGCTTAATTGAGGAGAATAAATGAAAAAAAAAACATGGCCAAAACCCAAAAATATCTTTTAAAAGTAGGAGTATTAATTACTTCATGGTAAACACAGAGTAAAGCAATTGAAACCATGGCAGCAGTAAACAGACTTCAGGGACACAAACAAGTGACAACTCCAGAAACCACTCTAGGGATAAGAACTTACTATATTATAAACGTGAACTATTCAAAACAGTAAAAAAGAATTTTCAGTAAGTGATGATGTGATAACTAAATAAATATTTAGGCCCTTAATCATACCTATAGCAAAAATAAATTCCATTTAGAGAAAAATATTTAAATCTAAACAATGAAAATAAAAGGAAACAAATATACATGTAACACTGACACGGAGAAGATATTTTTAAACATATCACCAAATGCGGAGTGCATAAGAGAAATTTATTGTTATGAAAAACACAGTGCTTCTTCTATATATCCGACATCAAGAATTTAAATGGCACATACTGGAAAAGGGGCAGAATGTCTGCAACGAACAGAATAAACAAATGATGAGTGGTTTTAATATATAAATACCTCTTACTAAGTCAATAGAAAGCGAATCCACAACAGAAAAATTAGCATATATATCCATTTATCCCTTCAACAGACATTTGTTGTGCATCTAATATGCACCAAATTGCTATGGGCAGAGAATGCAGTGTTGAATAATCCAGACATCCACACACAGTCTCTTCCTTCATACATTCTGGTGTGGGGAGAAGGAAATGAAACAGGATAAACAAATAAATAAGATCACAGACACAGAATGGGGACAGGAAATGACTGGGAGGCCATGACTACTTGCAGTGGGATGCTCCATGCAGGCCTCTCTCCAACCTTTGCAGCCCTCTAGAGGGCGCTCTGCGATGGAGGAGAGGGCGGCCCTGAAGGGCCTCTTAGAAACAGGAGCCTTTACTGAGCCCAGCCCTGAGGTATGGGAAAGATCTTGCTTGGCCTGCTGGTGGAACTAGCATGGCCACAAAAATAGTAAACAGTAAGAGAAGAGAACAGGAGATGTTGGAGAAATAAAATGGGTCGGATGGTGCAAGACTTTTCGAGCCATGGAAAGGAGCTTCATTTTTATTCTATAGCCAATAACTTACTTGATTTAATGGATGAGAAAGGCAGCTCCCACCAGGTTATCAATACTGTACTAACGTAGGCCAAGAGCGGTGACTGAGAGACTAGCATTGAATCTGGAAGGAGGCGGATTAAAGACAGATTCGAGTCGGGCGTGTTTGCGCACACCTCTAATTCCAGACCTCAGGAGACAGAAGCAGGGAGATCACTACAAATTCAAAGCTAACCTGATCTACACAGTGAGTTCCCAGGCAACCAGAACTATATAGAGACCCTTTCTCCAAAAGTAAAAAAAAAAAAAAAAAAAAAAAGCATATTTGAGTAATCAAACTGATTGATTAGATGGTCTGCTTTGTAAGGAACTAGTCATAAGAGAAACAGAGGTGACCGCTGGGTTTCTGACTAGAAAACTGGCTGAAATGCAGTGCCATAGTTGAACAACTGGTTAGGAGGAGGGGAATGATGGTAGCAGAAGAGAAAAAGAGGAGGACCTAAAGTTATTCAAAAGGTAAGAGAACAAGACCCACAGCCGAGAGAAGGGGCTGGCCTTCAAGCTTTCTTCACAGTCACAAAATGGAACATCACTTCCATGCACTTCCTGCTGGAAGATGAGGAGGTCTGTGTACAACTCTTGTTTCTCAGAGAAATAAGAAACCAAAGGGACACTCTAAGGATAGAAACAGTAGGTCTAGATGTGGGGGTCTGAGACAACCATAGGAAAAACACCGATTTAAGATTTGCAATAATGTGTTGAAAGTAGAACAGGTCGGTTGGGTTTTGTGATTTTCTTAATGGAAATGGTCAGTTGTTCCAGTCAGGTCAGTGCAAGACAGGAGGTACATACAGCCAGGGTTGGATTACTTTTTGCTAGGAAAATAACTTGGGAGAAACTGAGGTTTGAGAGTGCTGAGAGCATTGCTTTTCAAGGCATGATTATAATGGACTACAGAATCTGGGCTAGTCAAGGAAATAGTTCCAAGACATAGCCGGCTCAACAGTAGAAAAATGAGATCACTTAACAAAGAACTCAAGATAGGAAAATGGTTATCAAAGAATGGAATGTCTGGAGTGTCAGGTCCTAGCAGCAGACACCAAGACAAAAGTCACTGTGCAGCAGATGTGGTGAGGGGACACAAGGGGAGAGAAAAGAACCTTCGTGCCATAGGCTGGTCTGACTCACCTATGAAAGGCAAGAGCAAGAGGGGCCACAGACTGAAGCCAGCAGTCCTAAGAACGTTTCAGCCAAGTGTTGAGGGGCTCCCACCCAAAAATAGCTCATTGAGGGATCATGTATGTCACATGAACATCACGGCTACCTTGGCTGTGACCAGTCACTGGGAACAGCCCAGGAGAAGCACGGCCTCGAAGTAAAGTAAGCCCAGGGACGGAGTCCCTGGAAGAACAAGGGGGGCTGGGGGACTCAGCCAACAAGCCTTCCCGGAGCAGCTTTGAGAGGCGCGTTCCTGTGATCACCATGGGACAATACTCTAGAGAGGATGCAGCTTCTAAAGATGACGAGCTAGGTCCTTGGAAACAAGCATTGATTCCAAAGAAAGAAAGGGTAATTAGTCACAGGGAGGAGAAAGCCTAAAGTTCGAGCTCAGTTACGGTTGTGCATGATACAACTCAAGAATTTAGACAACAGGAATCTTCGGGCAGATGGGAGTGGGAAGTGGAGCTTGCTGAGGCTTTAAGGTGAAGAAAACGGAGTTGGCGTCGAAGAACTGATAATGAAAAGCATCTGCATGGGAACAGGGAGTCGTTACAAGAGATACGGAAAAAGGAATTGTGTGCGGAGAGCTTTTCAAAGAAGCCGGAGTTTTGCAGGCGACCTGAAGAAACGCGTGGCACGTAGCAGAGAGTGGGGTGGCCGGGCGTCCCGAGGGGCAGGGCAGGCGGCGGCAGCAGGGGCCGGCGGAGGAGCTCGGGCCGGCGACGACGACGCCCAGGCGGCCCAGGACGCGGCGTCTGCAGAGACGACCCGGGACGGCCGGGGGACGGCGGGGCGCGCGGCCGCGGGAGCGCGCGGCGGCGTCACGGGGCGGCGGACTTGCCCAGGGCGCGCGCCGGGTGCTGGCGCTCCCTGGCGGCGCCGCGGAGCTTGGCGCGGCAGCTGGAGGCGGCCTGGCGCGTGGTGACGGCGCCCGAGGGCGGACGCAAGATGGCGGCGCTGCGGGGCGACGGCTTCGCCAGGCTTCGGCCCCCACGGGCGCGGCGGACCCCAAGGAGGAAAGACAAAGACACGCCGGTTAGCAACGAGCGGGAACCGCGCAGCCCGGGGCTGAGGCGCCGCGTCCCCGCACCCACCAGGTAAAGCTGCGTGCAGGAGCCGGGCACCCCGCGACGGGCAGGGTGGCTGCAGTCAGCAAACCCCGCCTGAGCTTGACCCACAAACTCTTTACAAAAAATGTTTCCTTAAAGAAAAGCTATGAATGCAAACAAAATTTCAAAGTGTGTTCTGTGCAATATCCGTAATAGAAAATGGGGAAATAGAAAATTGGAAATTGTTCATATCTGACAATAAAGTATTACAATCTTATAATGCGAACTAACTTGCTAATAAAATAATACTGTCAGATATTACCTAACAGTACGGGAAAGTAGTCAATGAAAAAATCAATTTAATCGCAATTTGTAGAGTGTGATCGTATACACTTGTGTATTCAGGCAACACAAATTTATAAAATGATTGAGAAAACAATATGCTGTTAGCATCAGGTAGTAGGCTGCAGATAGTTTTTATTTTCATTTTATTTATGACTTCCAAAATTATACACTAAGTATATTTCACTGTTAAAATAAAAACTTAATGGTTTTTAAATTTTATTCTGCTTATGAATTTATGAAGTTATACAGGGTAGCAAAGCGATAGGCATAAAGAGATTTTAAAAAATGGGTTCACTGAGATCACTTATCTTCACTCTAAGCTCTGTGTCAGTCACAGTATTAGAGTAGTTTATCCCTTAAACGTTCAACAGTTAATCAAAACCACTGTCTTTCCCAAACTTATACCATATTTCATTCTAGTCATTTCTACTTGAGGAAAAAAAGTTTTCTGTGCTTTTGATGAGTTAATTTCAACTTGTAATTTCCTTAGACTTCGGAACATGGTATGCCAAAAACAGAAAAACCTACCATGCTTTTGGAACAAACATTTTAGGTAATACCAGTGTTTCAGTTTCAGTAATGTTCCCTGTATCTGAAAGCATTCAACCTAAAGAAAAGTAAAATATTACATGAACTATTAACTAACTATTGGTCATTGAGGGAATCTGTTCAGCTAAATTATCCCAGGGATCTACAAAAGGGATGTGTGCCAGCACTTTGTTAATAAGTAGAAAAATCCATTGTAACATAAACTTCAAAATTATTTTAAGTTAAAACAACTTCAGGGTTGTCAGATGGATTTTATTCGGTGATAAGCTCATCAAAGGTTAGGTGTTTAAGGGCATCTGCTCCATAATTAACCACACCACCTCCAAATTTCCTACACTCTGAAGGGTTTGGATAGAATTATCATGCCCAAAGACACAGCTTTAGGAGTATATATATATATATAATCACATAGCAGATATATATATACACATATATATAATATCAATAGCAGAAATAAAACTTACAAAAAGAACAAAGCTAAAAAGCCAAACATTTGAGTTAACTTCCTGAACAAAATGAAAGCTGTAAGAGCCTTTTTTTTAAAGAATGCATTAGCTCTTAAAAATCTAACAATTGCCAAATGATTTCAAATTAGTTGTTCTTAATTTTTAAAAATTATTTATTTTGTATATGTATTCCAGGGCATGTGGAGGTCCAATAGCAACTTGTGGGAGCTGGCTCTCTGCCACCACCATTGGGTTCCAAAGTTTGAAGTCAGGTTGTCAGGCTTGGTAGCAAGCATCTTTCTCCACTGAGCTATCTCACTGGCCCTGATTTCAATTTATCATTTTGGAATGTGTATTATGTCTTAGGGGCTTTGCTCAAACAATAACAGCAAATAAATAGGTAGATAATAGGTAGGTGGACAGACAGATAGATAGTCAAGTTTCTATTTCTGATAAGGATTATCTAGAAAATTAGTTTCCCATTATTAGGATAGTCAGACCCCAAGGCTAACGTGAATCCCTAAACTGCTCTGCAGATCTGCCAGGTTTTCTTCTCATATTCTTCAGATGAACCATTTCATTTCCTGTCAGATTCATAAAAGCATACCACTGTCTCCACACTAGATGAATCAATAGCTGTTAACCTTTCAGGAGAGCCAAAGACCAGTCCAAGGCTCTGCCTAAAAATGTCATCTTCCAGAAGCCTGCACACAACCGCTCTTAGAAACTGACTTCCTAGCCGGGTGTTGGTGGCGCACGCCTTTAATCCCAGCACAAGGGAGGCAGAGGCAGGCGGATCTCTGTGAGTTCGAGACCAGCCTAGTCTACCGAGTGAGTTCCAGGACAGGCTCCAAAACAATACTGAGAAACCCTGCCTCGAAAACCCCCAAAAAAAAAAAAAAAAAAAAAAAAAAAAGAATGATAGAAACTGACTTCCTGAATACAAACGTGAGAACAAGCAGCTGCTTCCCTCACACTGCTACTTTCATAAGAGTGGAAAATTGATGCTTCCTGGGTGGTAGTGGTGGGGGGTCCTGTAATTTAAAAGGTTTTAACTGCTCAGTAGTAAGTCTTGATGAGATTTGATTTACTAGTTAAATCTGTGATCTGGCCTGTATCACAGCAAAATGTCCTTCATCTTTGTATCAACTGAGCCATTCCCCGGGGAACAAGTACTAAAAACCTTGACTCACCAAGGTATGTAAAGCTCAAACACAGAATTTTATAGTGTCTTGCAAGGTTAAGTTAGCCCGTATAATGGGACAACCAAATTCCCCCAGACTCATGTTAGAACCAACACACATTATATCCTCTCCCATCAAGTTCAAGTAAGTGCCCAGCTAAGTCAGAAAATCTCTGTGTAGTACAGAGAAAATACATCCTGTTCCTGTTTCTTGGCAAGACCTCCTGGAAAGACAGTGGCTGCTGCTGACACGCTAAGGAATGAGGTACATTCGTATGTTCCAGTTCTTAGTGCTCACAAACCAGAAGCCACGGTGCCTGGCATTGCAGGTGCAGCATCTAACCGACCCTTCTTAGTCTATGCCTTTTTCCCTTCCACTGGATTATTTACTTAAACGCACCTAGAGGATACTGACAGTCGTCCAGCTTTCTGAAATGAACTTATTTGCTGATACGAAAACAGACATGGAAACAAAATGCGTGCACTGAGAGGCATCAAGTTTCATCCCATTACATGCTAAAGAAAACCGGCACTGCTGCCTGCTTTTCCAAGGTATCTGAAAAACATACATCAGTTCTCTCTTACCGACCATTATTTTAGAAAATTTGAGCCAAAATATTTTTGTTCTTATTCCCTTTAAAAAAGTTTCCCACCTGTGTGCTCTTCTTGTCACTTAACTCTTTAAAGGGATGGGGAGTCTCCTCCTACTATTTAAGTTCTCATTTTCTCTCTCCTGCCAGTTTTCTGATCACTATAGTCTGAAATGATCTGTTCCTCTTATGGTCTCTGGCTGTTCCTTAATTCTTGCTCTGAGACCATTAGCACAATAATCTATATTTTCACAACCACTAGGGCAGTCTATAGTGATTTCTCTACCATTTCCATTCTATCTTGCTTCTCAAAAACCAAACAAAAAACAAAAACCAATTCCATCCTCCAGATGGGTGTAGACGAACATTGACAGCATTTATTGTTATGAGGGTGACTCGTCTGAATCATCTTTCTGTATTCACATCCACACAGAAAATTTTGATTTGCCTATAGAGTGATTGCCAGATCAGCAATGTCATTGTTGCCTGCTGAATTAATCAACATTCTATCTCTACTCCTAGATTTCCAGTCATTACCTCCCAACACTATGGCCAACTCCCAACACTGCCTCCATTTTAAAAATAATTATCTACTATGTAAGAGAGAAATGAATCAGAGTTTACAATGCAAATGACATGGTTAGACGGAAGAAGTCACAACCACCATTCACTCAAATAAAACACAAACTCATATATACTATGAAGCCAAGCAGTAATATTAAGATCACATCCCAACAAATTAATATCATAGATGGAAGAAACATGGGGAACATAGTATTTGGGTACAAGAAACTAAAATTCAAAAGTAATAAATATCTTAAATACAAAAAAGTTGTAAAATAACTCAGAGTGAAGTGATATTACCCTAATTAGTTCAGAGAGCCCACATTAAAGACAAATTGAGGAAGGAAATGAAAAGGAAGAATTGGAAGATTGAAAACTATTCAGAATTGTTCAAGTGGAACCCCTGCTCCCCCTTGCACAAGCTGGGAAACTTAGTCTGCCCTATTTGCCCCAACCCTCACGTACTGAGAAAACTGATCAAAGGAAGGCACCCAAGTACCCAGCCTCAAGCCTTTCCATCTACAGTAGTATCCTGCAAGATGTGCTAAGTGTGGCGGTGGCACAAAGCTTACGGGAGTGGCCAGCCAACCCCTGATGTGATGTAAGGAACCCATACCCAACACTGCTTGTGTGACTAAGACCCTGAGACTAGACAGCCCAGGGACCCAGGGTGAAATTAAATGCTTCTGTACTAAAATAAAACAAAGCAAAAACCTGTAGTCATAAAATGACTCCTAATGACATTCTGCTGTACTCATAGATCAGTGCCTTGCTCGGTCATCATCAGAGATGCTTCCTCCTGCAGCAGATGGGAGCAAATGCAGAGACTCACAGCCAGACACTGTGCAAAGAATGAGAGACCTTGGAGCCCTCAGCCATAAATGAGGTGTCGCTATCAAATCCCTCCCCTCAGACTCAGGGGACCCTGCAGAAGAGTTGAAAACAGTGTAAGAGCCAGAAGAGATGGAGCACACCAAGGAAACAAGGCCCTCTGAATCAACATGAGTTCCAGAGACTGAGGCAACATGCACAGGGTGTGCACGGTTTGGACTCCACCAGATGAGGTCCTAGAGCTAAAAGGAGCAGTGAGCACACACCCCCATCCATAACCCAGAGGCTATCTCCAACTGATACCCAGGTGTACCGAGGAAACAAAGCACTCTTAAGGGTAGGCTGCATACCCAGCAGTAGACAGCTAACAGTCAACAAATTCTTTTCTAATTTATCTTTTTATTTTTATTTTTTTCTCCTTTTT